GATTCAAAACAAACTGCTTTGGCAACCTATGCCTAGGTGATTGCTAGCAACACTGCCAATGCCATCAAGATAGGCGCTGCTCGATTGGCTCTGGCTTTGACAGTTCGTTTGGCTCAAAACCAGCCAGTCCGCTCATCTCTTATACTAGATCCTCTCTAGTTATAACCATACAGAGAACGATGAAATCTCGGCTGCATCAGGGATCACTGACGTAATATCCTAACGATAAATCCTAATTTAACGATAAACGTAGCTTGTTGTAATTTTCGTCTTCGATCAAGCGTTTCAAGACCAAGCAGACGGCATCTAGCGGGATACGCTGGATGGTTAGACGGGTCACGCCATGGTAGATTCCTGAGAGCAAGCCGTATGAACATTTTTTGGACTCGCTCAATTCTTAGGTTCCATGTAACGTCGTTTTGGAGCCCGTATGACTTAATAGTTTTCTAGAATTGGTCACACTGTGGAACAATATAGCGCTTTTAGACAGTGTGGATCCATGAAGTCCTTAGCAATTTTGGAGATAAAGCCAAGTTGACGGTTTGCCTTGGAAATAATCGATGCGTAATGGGAATGGAAGGAGAGCTTTGCATCCAACACAACACCAAGATTGGCTGCATGGAAATGAAACTTCTACGCTTATTTGTTTCTCGAGACAAGTGTGTGTTTTTATTTCATTTACCATCACAAGTATGCCAGTATGGATGAATTGCATTTGTTTTGAAAATCTTCGATGTTATACCCCGTTCACATTACAGCGTATATCACGACCCAAAATTGTCAAAATCAGAAGCGATCCTCAAAAGCAAAATAATCAAATTCATTTTGAGTAAAATAATTATTTGGAATATTGTCGACCCCAGAGCCTAAAACGTTGATATTATCATCAATTCAGCATGAGGCAATAATTTTCCATCGATCTTTGTGTAAAAACCAACACAAAACGTTGCTTAATTTTTCCCTCCATGACGGCAGCTGCTGCTAGCACCAGCCCAGTGGCAGGCGCATAGGCAACATGTTATACCGTGACAGCGGGCCCAGCACAGCAAAATAAATTATTTGAGCCCGGGACATGCTGCCTACTGTCAAACACTGCTGTTGGTATAGGCCTTGTCACTGGCCTGGTTAGCACAAAAACATTCTTTCCAATTCCATGTTTCAGTTCCGATCGGTGTACTCTCGATATCCTTATATGTTTGCTTTCGGTTTGCAACATTGCAGCAAGCAAAACAAAACATTTGAACTGTCAAAATACCGGGTTGCTAAACAAACATTTATTAACAATCAAAGTAAGTCCGATGACCGGCACTCTCGACACAGCGTGGCACACTTGAGGCACAGTGAGAAAAATGTTGGCGTAAAATATGTGTGTAGAGTGACCACCCCTTGGTGTAGAAGAAATGATTTTTATCAGCACTGCTCGAGACACGTTGAAATCGTACACATAGCAACACCGGTTTAATATACGGGACATTAGAGTGATGCAAAATTTGAAATTTTTGCTCTACAATACTTAAACGATTCCAAATCGGATCCTGACTAACCTCTCAAAATTTGAACCCATTTGGTGAGAAACTGAGATGGCACAAACCATTTGAAGTTTGTATGGGAATTACTATGGTAAAACCAAGATTTTTGTTCATGTCTATCTAATAATTCACCATATCGGTCTTCGTCAAAAACTTTCAACTGTATTTGTAGAAAATTTTCCCAGCTACAACTTTGCTGAAGATCACTTCTTGATTAAATGCAAGGATCAAAAGTTATCAATAGTTCAATGCGCTGATGTCTTATGATCATGCTCAATCAACTGCTCAGCAGGCAACATTGGTGTTTCTGTGGCGTTGAATAGGACACAAAAATCATGGCTACTATGTTACACTGCAAAAAAAAGTGTTGCCTACAGAGCAGCTGCTTGATCATGTCATAAGTTTACCAATCTCTTAAATAATTAATAATTTTTTCCTGTCTCATTTTACATAGAAACGATCTTCAGCAAAGTTGTAGCTTAGAAAATTTTCTATAAGAATGGCTATCGAACTATTTCACAGCTCAATATGGAAAAACACTAGAAGACAATGAACAAAAAATTGAGATTTCCCATAGTAATTTACATGTAATCTTCAAATGGCTTGTGCGAAGTCTGTTTCTAACCAAATGAGTTGTAACTTTGGGAGGCTAATCAGGACCCGATTTGAAACCATTTAAGCACTGTGGAGCGAAAAGTCAAATTTTGCATCAGTCTAACGGGACATGCTTCGCAAAGGTTCGTGAAAGCCATAGTTAGTTCTTGCCCGAGGGATGGTGATAAACGTTGCGACCAAAGATTGCGACCTCGTGTGTTGATGCCCAAGAGACTCAATTTTGCTTTGCACAATATCTCCAACAAAGCACGCTGTTGCCACGTTGCGTCTCGCTCCCAGTAACTCCAGGTTTATTAGCAAATAACGGCTTTCATAACTGGGTAGGTTGAATGGATCTCTCCACCTGAGATGACGTAGAGCGAACCGGGTGAATTTTCGCTGAATAGCCTCAATGCAATGAATTACATTCGAGTAATAAGGAGACCTGGTTGTGGACGAATACTCTAAGATGTGCGCCCTAAATTGAGCAATAGCTATAGTAATAGCAACCGGTGGAAACTAACGATTTTGAATGGGCTCACTACTTGACTAGCCTATTGGTCTCAAGCAAATCGATTAACGTACCACATTCCAATTGAAATTCTAGTACTACACTATGTTTGTTTTGATTCGCTATGAAAGTTTGATAGATAAAATGAGGGGTCCGTGGATTTTCCTATGTTTCGAGGGGTGCATCGATAAGTTGGGACTGAAGTTAGTATCAGAGCTAAGCCAAAAAATTTGAGCACTTTTCTTCGGGACCTTCTGATCTTAGAGTCAGGTACCTCTATGGTAAAAGCTTTTAGGCAGTACTCGGAAAAAAATCCGTTCCCGAAAACGGGAACGGACCGTGAACTAAAAATCACGGTCAGCTATCCAGAACAAAATTTTCTCAAATATACACCGTGAACTATGGTTCACGGCTGTGGTTCACGAATATGGGAACTCTTTTTTTCCCGTGTAGACGTCCTTGAGCTTTTTGCAAAGCGAGATAAAAATCATAGTTGCGATGAGGCTTTAGACACAACTTACGCGACGTGATGCTTCAAGGACAATTTTGTATCAACCAGAATCCCCAAGTCCTTGATTGTCGACTCACGTTGTACACAGCAAAAAATAAACTTTAAAGTTACATCCAAGAGGATGCACTTCAATCATGTCGAAAATCTTATGTAATTTCAATGTCCACAAAAATAAACAAATGCAGTAAAAGCAGCGTAATGTCAAAATGGAGTATGCTAATCGATTTGCTTGGGACCAATAGGCTAGTCAAGTAGTGAGCCAATTTAAAATCGTTAGGTTCTCCGAAACATTTTATGACACGAGAAACAGTAGATCGTTGGATTCCCAACTTCTTTCCGATGGCTCGGTGCGAAAGATGTGGGTTGTTGAGGTGTGCAAAATTTTCTCGCGCTCGCGCTGTTTCTTCGACTCAATTTTCAAAACTACTAAACATTTTGCAATGAAATTCACAAAAAAAATAATTAAATTAACCTAAAGGGCAAAATGTTACAGCTTTTAGAAAGTGATGTATTAATTTATTAACATGCATCATTAACACGACATAAAAAGTAACAAGGACTTAAATGTGTTTCTTTGATGACTGGAAAAACCTGTTCCCCTAGTTTGAATTCCGGAGAACCCAAAGGGTAATATTGTAATATACCAATGTAAGAGTGATTCAGAATAATCCCAGAGGGTCTTGATGCTGAGTTATCACCTACACACTTATGTCGTTTTCGTTTTTACTACACTACACCGGTGTAGTGTAAGCAGCAATAAGCGCGAGTCATTGACAGCTTATCATCATTTGTTTGTAAACAAAGGTGCAACCGATAGCTACACCCTGATTTTTTTCGGTGTACGGCGGTGTAGCACCGGAGTAGCTACACCGTAAAAACGAAAACGTCATTAGAAATAACCAAATTTACAAGTGACAAAATCCATCTTTGACATTAAAGATGCGACGTAAACAAACATGTCATGTAATATTACATGCTCCGAGACTGAAAAGTTCATTGCTCGACGAAAAGTACGTTTGATAAAGCTATATTTTACGAGATGGACTAGCCCACAGCTAAAAATTTAAAAAAATAAAGTTTAAAAAAAATGCGTCTGTTATGACTTGTATATGTTACTCTCAGAGCACCTAAATTTACATGAGTTTTTCTAAGTGTGTAGCGAGTAAACTGTTAACTCAATGTGAATCAATAGCAATTGAATTTAAAATGTGAATGTGCTCAAAACAAACCATTTCCGGTGCTAATGAGCTTTTAAAGTGATTTTAAACCAAGGAAACTGCCGTTTAGCTTTTGAAAACATCGGTCAATTAGTTACAGATCGTAAATTTTAGACCTGCTGCCTTTTGATTCGATCGTTTTCTGTTCACTCTTTGTACCGCTCAATTCCTCATAAAAACCGTCTCTTTTGGCAGCAAATCAAACTGCACAATGCCCAGCGAATCGATGCAAATCCGCCACAATCAAAATCGATCAAACTGAAATAAAGCCACTTTCGCCCTTTCGCTCCCTGGCAGACTGAGTCAGTAGCCCACCGCCACGAGAGCAAGCTCATTTCTCCTTCTTCCAATGTAAGGCCAAGCAAACAAAGGTGAGTAAAAGCGTATTCCAACTGCTGCTTGCATTGACTGAACAACTTTCGGTTTCTTTGGAGTCAATTTAGTTCTGCCCAATTTAGTCGATTGCTACGAAATAAACATCAAAGCGGAGCAGCCGTAAATGCACACTTTCTTTCGCTGCCCCCAGTTGGGTGGCACAACAGTGGGTTTTCCACTCACTGGCTGCCTTCCTTCCAGTCAGTGAGTGGCGGCGAGTGAGTGAATGGAATGTTCATCTACGATTCATAAATACTACTTACCCAGATCCGGCGACTTGGCAGTGGTGGTGGTAGTGGTAGTAGCTGCGGCCGCACCCCTCTCACCTCCCTCCGAACCGGTTCTGGTGGGTCCAAATTTCCGACGCACTCCAACTTTGGGCCTCGTCGATTTTGACGGCGGTGGCGGCTGGTCAGCATCAATCGCAGGGGTAGTAGTGCTAGTAGCTGTTCTCCTGCTGCTGCCGCTAACAACCGCGGCGTCCCCTGCCGCTTCGTCCACCGTCGACGATCCTCCGAGTACGGCCGGCCGCTGGCGGTTGGCGCTGTTCAGCTTGCTCAGGTATGTTGTTGGCCTTCTACGGCGTGACAATAGAGACGCTGAGGTTGCCGTCGACAACGACGACGACGTCGTCGTCAGGAGGAGGGTCGAGTCGGTCGTCGAAGTCTCGCCACTCTCAGATCTTCGCGTGCTCTTGTTGCGTGCGGTTGTCGTCGGTGTCGCGCTCGTTGTCGTTGCAAAGCTGGGGCCACCTGGACGGCGCAGTGCCGGTCGGAACTGAGGACGAACCTGCGGATTGGATGGGGATAAGAACAGTGATTGGAGGGGGAGAACGAGAATTGTGAATTAGAAATAAAGTGATATTTTGTTTGTTTGTTTTTTTTTTTGGTTTGGTTGGTTGCTTTGATTATTATGTGATTCAATAAATTCCAAGTGATGGCAAGGTTATTTTGCTGGAAATGGGATAATAAATCGGAGTTTTTTCGCTGAAGGAGTAATCGATTCTGCTGCTGCTGCTGATGCTGATGCTGATAGATGCTGATTTTAGAGTTGAAGGATTTTTAGATACGGGAAGAGAGTTTTGTATTTAGAGAACATACTCAGGCAAATTGTGCAGTTTTGGAAAATAGAATCATGCTATTATTCACGTTCAACTGTAGATTGTGACAAGGTGCCAATGAAGATGTGTATTTTGGGTGTACTGGAATGCTGTGCTGGAGCTCTGAACGGTGGTTTTTAAAGAAACTTGAACAATTGCGAAAAGAAGTGCCGAAAAAATCCTGGCGAACGCTTCTGTCTTTAAACAGTTGCAACCAAAGGCGTTTGAAAGGATAAAACGGGAGTTTTGTGTGACATGACCCAACAACTGTTTGAATTTTGACGAATTTGGATTTCATTTAATTTGAACCCAATATTATGTCACAGATGTGAGTCATCCAATCGATTATGTCGTCAAATTGACGACTATTTGTGTCGAGCTGACTAATTTCCCACTGTGTCTTTGTTACTTTCCAAATTTAGATTTGGTAACGGTTCATTAGACTAATGAATGAGTCGTTTGGACCGACAGTGTCATAGTTTACTTAACGAAAACAGTTGATGCTGAGTCAGTGTTTCTTAGTTCCGAAGGTTAGTTAGTTTTCCAAATATTAAGAAAACTTTCAGCATCGAAACATGTTATGAACGCTTGATCAGTGTTAGAAAACAAATTAAATCTATAATCAAAGTTCAGTGAAATGCCTGAGTGGAATTGAGAAATTTTGCAGAATTTAGAAAAATAATTTGATACTTCAAATCATATGGTTCATTTCCAATGTATGTATTTATTATGGCTCTATGCTGGTCGCATTACGGAGCCAAATGTATTTTTTTTTCACTGAACAAACTTGATAGAAAACATTTAAAGCATTCAATTGTATGCGTTTCAAAAGAATTAAGAAATATCACTACCATATTTGCCACATTTATGTGGCGTTTCAAGGGATGTTTTTGTTTTCGTTTCGCGTTGCGTCTAAATATGCTGTTTGTGGTAATTTAGGCGGTTTTAATACCATTTCATTATTTTGGCAGTTCTGAGCCATTTCAAGGATTTCAGCGCTGTTATGACGTTTGCAAGCTCATTATGTCATTTCAAGATAGCTTTGGGAGTTCCTGGTCATTGTGAAGGTTTTAAGGTACTTCAACTTTTAATTTTGTGGCGATTTTGGCAATTTTTAAATTATTATTACTATAGTCACTTCAACACTTTTTGGACTATTCGTGACTTCTTTTTCCATAATATTTATTTGGTATGCTCAATGTCTCTTGGAGCTATACGGAGCCGAGGAACATTTTTTTCTTCAATATTCGTGACTTGTCCAGGGATGAAGATTTGAGCTCGTGACAATCAGCGTGAGAGACATGGGTGCCAAGGTTGGGCCGGAAAGCAATTAGGCCGAATAGTGAAATGTGAAATTTTATGCGTTGTATTTATAGCATCGTATTCCTAAACTTGATTTTAGAGTTTGGAAATTTCGACTTTTAACGAGTTTCCACGATCATCCAAAACTTATTCCTGATTTTATGGTTGGACATCTGTGCATAGACATAATTTTGCCTTCATTGCTGTGAACAAGCTCGCTTCTCGTTAACGGTACAGTTGTGTTGTGTTACAGTATCTACATGCATGTTGCAGACTGGGTAATCAGACTGTTAAACTGGTACGGCGAGTATAGATGCCTTACCATGAAAAGTGAATAACTATTAAAGTTTCGGCCGAATGACCAATTTGGCCTAATGGCATTTGGCTTAGTGGCATTTAGCCAGTGGCATTTGACCAGTGGCATTTGGCCAAGTGAAATTTGGCCAAGTGGCATTTGGCCAAGTGGAATTGAGCCTAATGGCATTCGGCCGAATGGCATTGAGCCTAATGGCATTCGGCATAGTGGCATTCGGTATAATGACCCATCACCGGAGGCCAACCACTACGCCAGGACCGTCCACTTTTTGATGAATATTATTTGTAACATTTTTGAAAAAAATCGGCCATTTTGAATCATGAAATTTTTTTCAAAATGGCGTCTGAGACATTTTTCAATAAAGCACAAAAACGTCAATTTTGATCTAAATGACGTTTGCGATGAAGTTGTAGAGTTGTATTTTAAAATGTTCTTGTTCAATATTTATAAATAAAGAGCTCATCAAAAAGCAAACTTTTGGAAGACTGTGTCTATACACTTGAAAATTGACAAAGCCGTAGAACAAAAACTTTTGGTCTAATTTTTTAACTTTTTCTTATAACCCTTGACTTGTCGATCAACTTAAAATATCAATCCACCAATCAACAAACCGGTTGGCTGATCAACTAACAAACCAACCAAATTGCTAATTGGTTACTTGAGCATATTTATCATTGGAGTGTTTCCTAACTTTTTAATATAAGGAATGATAGTCTATGGACTTTCAGATTTAGATTATTTCTAGATAGAGCTAGAATTAGGGCGTAACATTCAATGTAAACAATGACGTCTCTCGTTGATTACTAGGAATTCAAGACACACCTACACAAATTAACATATCAATAGGGTAGGAGAGAGGAATCACCTCTACTCAATGGTGATGTGGATTTGTCAGGGAGAGCCATGACTTTCGAAAAATCTCTAAGATTTGGGCCCTTTTACTAAATTTGAGTCAACCATCAAGTTGCTTGCCTCACTATTTTGAAACTACAGAAGGAATGACCAGAGACAATTTACTGTCTTAAGCGGAGTAAAAATTAGACCATACCTGACCGACTGATCAATCAATCAATCCGATTGACTGACCAAACAGCCAAGCAAACTATCAACTGAATAATTTTCTGAACTGACTGACTAACTAAACAATCGACCGAAAATCCGAAAATCCAACTACATTGACTAACCAACTGGTCGGGGCTTGCTAAATGGTCAAACATCTCGTCATTTAGATCGATGGTTGATAAATCAGTTGGTGAATTGGTTGATCGGTTCATCGGTTCATTGATTTGGTCAGTTGGTAGATTGATCGGTTCATCGTTTAGTTAGCTGGATTACTTATAATCAGTATATTTTCTTATTGGCTGCTCAGTCAAATTGACTCTTTGCATACTTATCGCAAAACAGCTGTGGCTGCAACTGTTCGTGATGAAAGTTGGTTGGTTGGTTGTTTGGTTTGGTCTATTGAGTAATGGATCGTTCTGTTGGTTGGTTGGTCGGTCAGGCTCTTAGTTAGCTTAGGAAGGATAAGTTCGTGCGTCTATAGGCGAACGATCAAATAGCTAAATCTCCGTTCGATTTATTGAAAAATCAAACATTGTACATCGTTTGCCAATTAACCAATTAATTGACTGGCCAACTAACCAACCCACTAAATGATTGTCTGATCGACATATAAACCAAACTGATCGATGGTTTAGCGATTGGTTGGCTTTCTGATTGATTAGTAAATCAGTTAATAGTTGGTTGATTGGTTTACTGGTCGACCGGTCAGTTTGATCTGACAGTTTGCTATTTGGTGAATTGGTTAGTTGGTTTGGTCGATTGTTCTGTTGCATATTTGGTCAATCTCGCAGCTAGTAGTGGGGACTATTATTGTTTCGTCCGTCAATGGCTGACCGATCGACCATCCAAATCACTGTCGGACCAACTGATTAACCGGCCGATTAAAAGGTCGGAAAGACAAAAGGTCGAAAAGACAAAAGGTCGAAAAGACAAAAAGTCGACAGGACAAAAGGTCGAGAGGACAAAAGGTCGAAAGGAAAAAAGGTCAAAAGGGACAGAAGGTCGAAAGGACAAAGGGTTGAAAGAACAAATGGCCAAAAAGACAAAAGGTCGAAAAGTATAAAATGTTGAAAGAACAAAAGGTTGAAATCATAAAATAGTTTTTTCTTCTTTTTTCCTTCTGTCTTTCGACCTTCTGTCTTTCGACTATCTGTCTTTCGATTATCTGTCTTTCGACTATCTGTCTTTCGACCGTCAGTCTTTCGATCTTCTGACTTTCATCCTTCTGTCTTACGACCTTCTGTCTTTCGAATTTCTGTCTTAAGACTTTCTGTCTTTCGACCTTCTGTCTTTCGACCGTCAGTCTTTCGATCTTCTGTCTTTCATCCTTCTATCTTTCGACCTTCTGTCTTTCGACCTTCTGTCTTTCGACCATATGTCTTTCGACCCTCTGTCTTTCGACCTTCTGTCTTTCTACCTTCTGTCTTTCGACCTTGTGTCTTTCGACCTTCTGTCTTTCGACCTTCTGTCTTTGGACGTTCTGTCTTTCGACCTTCTGTCTTTCGAACTTCTGTTTTTCGATCTTCTGTCTTCCGACCTTCTGTCTTTGGACCTTCTGTCTTTGGACCTTCTGTCTTTGGACGTTCTGTCTTTCGACCTTCTGTCTTTCGACATTATGCCTTTGGACCTTTTGTCTCGAAACCATCCACCAATCAGCAAACCGAAAATTGATCAACCGATCAACCAACAAACCGATAAATCAATTACTGAGCAGCACTCCAAGTTTCGCCATCCAACCTACAAACCGACCGCTTATCTAATTAACTTATCAACCAATCTTTCAAAACATCAACCAACCAACCAACCCACCAACCAACCAACCAACCAGTTAGTAGTTAGTTGGTTGGATGACAGGTTTATCATTTGGTCTGGTGAACTGACTGACTGACTGACTGACCAACCGGCTAACCAAAAATCAACCAACTGATCGGCCCACTAATCAACTATTTGACTATCGGCTGACCAACCAACCAGTCAACAAAGCGACCGGTTGACAATCCACTTGCTTGTTGCTTGTTTGGTAGATTGATCGATCGATTTGGT